AACGATTTCTCCATCCCCACCCATATTTTCTTAAGTCAAATAGGAAGGTACAGAGTAAAATAAGACTTGAGTACATATTTAAGAGGGTTTAGACTCAGTTGTAAATTCTGATTCCATCCTTTTCTTTACATAAATCTGTGGGGGAAGCCCAGCCCAAGGGGGCGTGTTCGCCTTGGGCTAATGTTTACATATAAATCTGGCGGGCATGAGCCCAGCCAGTCCCTTTAGTATTTCCTGCCCATTGCTGGATTCCTGGTGTTGTAAGCTATCCCGTCATTAAATTTTGCTGTTTCATATTAAGCTAGCCTAGTTATTACGCTGCATCATAAATCCACTCATGTATACTTTTTAAAAAAGAATTTGCTGGTCCCAGAGAGATTGGACCTGATTATTTGCTATTGTTGGATGGCTGGACTTAAGCTCCATGAACTCCCTTGTTATGTCACATCCCAGAGACAGATGCTAGGACTATTTCTATAATACAGTAATCATAAACCCAAAATAACCTAGCTATCTCAAGGGTGATTATGATATATCTTTGTGTCATGGCACAGTTAAAAAAAAAAACAAGTAAAATCTAAATGCTAGTAACTTCCTGCATGAAGATAGGAAACCCTTTGTAAATATTTTTCGGGGAATATATAAGCCTCCATACATGTCTGCATATGCACAAGCATATACATGCACACAGAAGCCAGAGGACAACTATAGGTTGTCCTGGGGTGCCCTTCAGCATGTTGTTTGAAACAGGGTCTTTCACTGACCTGGAAATCAGCAATTAGACAGATTCAAGCGCTTGACTCTGAAATTATAACGCAGCTCACATACAACTTTAGTGCATCAGATAATATGAGCAGTCACATTAAAGAACCCACCCCAAGATGATTATATCAATCACCAATCAAAGGTTCAATAAACACCAGGGTCTATGCTGACTTAGGGGAGACTGTCTCATTTCAGGCCCCCTAGTTAGGCTCATGTCCATGACACATGGTTATTCTCAAGGTCCTCCACGCAGCACAGAATCTACATGACTCACGAGTAAAGGATTTGCAAAACCTGATCATCAGCAGAAACGACTTTCTCCACTGTTCCCCAACCATGTCACCATAGACCATGATAAACCCTTCCACTTCAGGTCAGTCAAGCTAGGGTTGGTTTGTAAAGTATAATCAAGTGTACCTGCATGAATTAATCGAGTGTGCAGAAATCAGCTCTTGGTCTTTGTTTTCTTTCCCATGCTACCCTTTTCCAGTTCCTCACTCGTAGTCACCCTGAACATTCAAATGCCTTCATTACCTGCCACTGTTATTCAGACAGAGGGGCATTATGGGATGCCCTGACATCATACCTGAGGCTTTATTGCTCCAAGAAGAATAATTCCATATCAAAAGAGAAACAAAGGGGTTTGCATACAAAACTCTGAGCTCTTACCACGCCTGAAATAAGATTTTTAACTTAGCCTTATCTGAGATCAACAATTTTTATGAGCTACCCCAGGAAGGCAGGAAAAACATAGGCTTTTTCCATGAATGTCTTTAATGGTTCAAAGAGCTGGCAATCATCACTTCACAGTGATGTGCATGAGATATATTTTAGTACTTACTGTCCAAATTAAACTGAAATTTTTCTTTATCAGAAGGCAGCTATTACTGTTAGTGTATATTTTTCTCTTGAGAAACAGAGCAAAGGGAATATTTCTATATAAGGAGTTTAAATGTAATTTTATATGTGTTATAAATAAGTTTTAAAATATGCTTTCAAATAGATCTATAGAAAAATACAATTTAAAAAAAACACAACTATATACATAGTTGCTGAGTTTGCTTGTGTATTACTTTGCCAAAGCAACAACAAACAAGTTTGAAGATTATAGTTTCCTAAAACAAATCCTGTAAGTAAATAACTGCGCAGGGGAGGGCTGGAGACATGGTGTTTCCTGTACAAGCATGACGACCAGAGCTTGAATCCCCAGAAACCCATGTAAGTATCAGGTGGGTGCGGCAACCTGCCTGTAACTCCAGCCTGGGAAGGTGGAGACAGAGGCTCCCCAAGACAAGCTATTTAGTGAGACTGGCCCATATCAGCAAATTCTGGATTCAACTGAAAGACCTTGCCTCAAAGAATGAGGTGGAAAAGCAATGAGGACAATTCCTAACAGCAACCTTAGAAATCCACACATATAACAATATGTGTGCAAGCAAAAACATGCTTATACACACAAATACCACATATATACACAAATAAAAAATGAAAATAAAGAAAAGAAAATTAAAGAAAACTTATATATCTGTTCAGATTAAAAATGACCAGTGTCTTCTAGACATGACAGAAAGCCACACTCATGAACTCACAGATGCTGCAGTTACCTACACAGGCCCCACAAGAAAGACCAAGCCAGGCAACATTCCAACATGAAGGGGGAGGGGTTCCCAAGTTCCTACCCCTAACTGAAAAGCTCCTGACCTCTGATGACCTCCGAGAGAAGGAGACTCATTTTCCTGTAAGAGTGTGACCCTTGGTAGGTCCACCATGGTCCAGTGGATGAACCCACACACACAGTATATGGGCGGCACAAATTGTACTTGGTGAATTTTATATGTATATATACAATATATATATATATATATATATATATATATATATATATATTAAAGAAAAAGAAAAGGAGAACAAGAAGTTATGAGGATGGAGAAGGTGGAGAAAGGATGGCGAGGGGGTGGAGAGGGGATGGAGAGGTGAAAGATGGATATGGCAGGAATTAGAGGGAAGAATAAAGGGTGAATATTCTCAATTAATGAAAATATATTCAAAGAAAAACCAAGTTATGGGTCAACTAGTACATTCCCCCAATAGTATTTTTATGAAGGAACCTGATTTTTTTTATTACTACAACCAAAGATCATGCATGAGTTGAACAAAGGAAAATATATATGGCACTTTATCCCAAGCTACAAGTACCTGTGTAGGGTGAAATTTGGATTAGCACAGAGAAAGCCCTGCCCTCCGAGAGGCGAAAATGGACACATGAGTAAATGACTACAGGATCTCCTTTCCCCTTGGGACAAGGACAGCTCATGGGACAACTCTCGTGTAGTATGACACAACATGTAATGATGGACCAGCAAATGTATTTCAAAATTTAAGAGGTTCTGAGACTGTAGGAAAAGGAATTCAAGCACCATCATAGCACCTGCAAAGCACACACTCATGGGAGCCCAGAACACTAACGGATGACATCACGGCCATCTTTCCCATCTATTCCCAAGGGACCTAACTGACTTGAGAGTTTCACTTCCATGGTACCAGTTTCTGATCCAGGGTGTTCAAACACATGGCTCAGATAATTTTTCTAACCCAGAGTCAGAACCCACCATGTATAGCAAAATCTCAGTATGAAAAAAATATTACACAGAAGCTTCCCTGGACCAACCTTCTCATGTGGAGAACCAGAAAGTTGACATTTTTTTTTTTTTTAACTGGAGAAAAGCTTCGGTGATCTTCGAGCAGGAAGGTTCGTGGGGCCTTTGTGTCTACTTCTTGCCGTGATCTAAGTTTGGCAGGCGCCATTCCCACCCACGTGTTCTGAGCAAACCTGAGGCCTGAGAACTGGTCCTCAGCTGTTTGCTTCCCTTCATCAGAAACTGTGATTTCTAACTTAGGGTTTCATTTAAAAAACAAAATATCTTAATATGTTCTTTCCAAACTTCTTACATTTATATAATGTAGTTTGATCATATTATTTTCTTCATGTGGCCTCTTTTCTTTCTTTCTTTCTTTCTTTTTTTTTTTTTTTTGGTTTTTTTTGAGACAGGGTTTCTCTGTGGTTTTGGAGCCTTTCTTGGAACTAGCTCTTGTAGACCAGGCTGGTCTCGAACTCACAGAGATCCACCTGCCTCTGCCTCCCGAGTGCTGGGATTAAAGGTGTGCGCCACCACCGCCCAGCCATGTGGCCTCTTTTCACTGCTAAAATTTTTATGTAACTCTAGATACAATGCACATAAATAAGGTATGCAAATCCAACATCTACTGATAATAAGCCATAAAGAAATTTACTTTAAAGTTATTCTTTGTAAAAAAATGAGTAGTTTTACTACTTATTAAAGATAAAAGCAAATTAAAACCTAACAAGAAGGACATGCTTGCTTATTTTTACATAAGCAATTAAGTCTTCGCTGAATATTTGATACTGTAGGAAACAAAGAGTCGTGAACATTTTTCATAATCAACTGATACTTTGATTTCATAATTGTCAATTTTGTGAACGCCACTTCACACAAACGCCGAGTGTAAAAGTGCAGAGGTTCCTCTAGGGCCATTACAAAAACTGTGGCTACTTCTGTCTGAATCCCATGCCAAACTTCATGTAGCAGATGATTTTCTAAAACTCAAGTTAGCAACTTAAACTGTGATTTAAACATCAAACAGTCCAAATATGTATTAATATGTATTAATTCATTGCTTCTATGTTTTCGATCAGCATTACGGAAAGTCACACCCCCAATGCCCTGGGAACCAAGCCATGTGTCTTAGGCAGCAACCAGCAGGGCGGCGCTGCAGAGCGGAAGATACAGAAAGTATGGGGAATGTTAAGAATGAGGCTGCAGGTCGGGACCCGGAAACATCAGTCATCACCCACTTGATCTGGAATCAGGACCTTCAGAAGTCTGTCCTTGCTTTCAACTGTTTGTACAATGTGAACCCTCCTGCAACCATGACTGACGGTTTAGGAAGTTGAAGCCTACCTAACCTCCGGTGGTCTTGTATATACACAGGTAGTTCTGGCACCAAGCAGAGGGAGACACATTTAATCCAATTAACTCCCTGCTCCAAGATCATGACCAGTTATAAGAACTCAGCACAGTTGGTAAAATGCTTGCCTTGAATGCCAAAGTATGGGCTGCAAAACTCTCCACTGCACAGAAATAACACAATTTTAAACATTCCAAAGCAACAACAGCAGCAACTACCCACAAAGACAGGCGTGGGAAATAACTCACCGCCAGAGACTCCGGTGCTGCTCCCTGAGCTGCGCCAGCAGGTGCTCAACGCACTTATTAGAGTCCATGTATTCCTGCAGAGACAGACCAAGACGGATAAAAACTCACTACACATCCATGTCCATTTGCTGGAAATTATACATGAAAATTGCAAAACAATACGGAAGCGTTCATTTTGGTGACATTAGTTTATCTCTTCAGTTTGCCATATGAAATACAAAGTCAGTCAACAAAATCACTATGGAATGCTTTATTTGGTCAATGAGGACCTGAGTTCAACCCTCAGAACCTGTGTTTAAAAAAAAAAGTCAGGTGTGGTGTGGCATGCGTTTATAATCCTAGCTCTGAGCAAAGGGAGACAGTTCACTGGGTCTTCTAGTTGGTCAACCTAAAATTGGTGAGGTCTATCTAGGTCAATGCCAGATCCTGTCTCAAAGAATAAAGTGATGGTGCCCTGGAAAAGATAGGTGAGGTTGTCTTCTGGCATTCATGTGTGCACATATACGGATAGAGACTCACTGCAATAGTAACTATGCCCTAAGAATGCATTTCTATGAGAGAATCCGTTCACCCCTTTCCCCAGTTTTGGAAACCTAGACCTCTAGAGTCTACACAGTTACGTAAACATGATATTACTTCTCTAACTCACAGGACAGCTTCTATAAAAACACACCCAAAGAGAATTTGGTGTCTGCTGAGTCAGTGGGAAATTCCTCTGACTTACAAACAGCTGACATTTCATCCTTATTAACAGGGAGTCCGTGTATTCTACTGAAAAACAGAGGAAGCCAATGTTGATGCCCTTAGAAGAAACATTAGGTATGTGTGGAGGCCTTGGATTTACTGGTCTTAGGGTAGTCAGTTTCTTTCTTTCTTTTTAAATTTTATTTATTTATTATGTATAAGTGTCCTGCCTGCACACCAGAGGAGGGCATTAGATCTCATTAAAGATGGTTGTGAGGCACCATGTGGTTGCTGGGAATTTAACTTAAGACCTCTGAAAGAATAGCCAATTCTCTTAACCTCTGAGTAATCTCTACAGCCCCACCCAGCGGGGTAGTCATTTTCAAGTAGGTATAAACTATATAGAATATCTTACAGAGGCTATCATATTCTTTGGACACACCCACTTTCTTATCTATACACCTTTTTCTTTTTAGATATACTTGTTACTATGTCTGTGTGAGTTTAGTCTTTTTTAGCATTTAAGAACAGCTAAAAGGAAAGGCGCATCTTGTTCCATGAAGATGTAATGCAGATGACAGTCTTTTGTCCAATATGTGATGGAATCATCTGTTGAAAATCACATGACCATAGCTGTGTGGGTTTAGCTCTGGGTTCTCTACCGCTGTCCACTGGTCTCCATGTCTCTGCCAGTGTCATGATGCTTTTGTCCCTGTGACTCTGTAGTACAATTTCAGATTGAGTGCTATAACACACCCAGCCTTGCCACTTCTGAAGATGACTTTGGCTGGTCAGGGGTTTGGGTGCTTATATGAATTTTAAGATTGCTTTTCCTAGATCTTGAAGTTATGGTGGGAACTGTGTTGCATCTATGGATGGCTCTGGTAAAAGGGCATTTTCATGTGATTAATTCTGTCAATCTGTGAGGATGTGAAGTCTTTCCCTTCTAGGGGTTTCTTGGAGATTTTCTTCTATCTCTTTTTTTCACGCTAGGGGTATTTCACTTCTCTGTGTGTATGTGAATGTGTGTGTGTGTGTGTGTGTGTGTGTGTGTGTGTGTATACGTGTGTGTGTTTAAACTAGAAAAAACAATCAGGAGGGGAAAGGAAAGAACTTAATTGGGAAGGGAAAAGAAAGTAGAAGAACATGTATCATGGGGAAGATGAGGGAAGAGAGCAAATCAGAGATATTTATAAGAGATGTATGTTTGAAATGTTATAATGAAATCCATTACTTTGTTATTTTAATGATTTTAAAGATCTGTTATTTAATTGTGTGTGTGTGTGTGTGTGTGTGTGTGTGTGTGTGTGTGTAGGAATATGTGGAGGTGAGTGCAGTGCCCGCAGGGGCCAGAAGAGAACAACAGAGCCCCTGAAACTAGAGTTACAGACAGTTCTGTGCCACCTGATGTGGGTGCTGGGTACCAAACTCAGGGCCTCTATGGGAGCAAGGGCCATCTCTCCAGCCTCCAAATCCATCTTAACCTCTGAGCCATCTCTCCAATCTCCAAATCTATTACTTTGCATACTATTTTAAAATTGCATATAAACACATTTGTGTGACTGAACCCATGTTTTAAAACAACCTATCTGGAAAAGTGAAGAAATTATTTTTCACATGAAAACACTATAGAAAAGTCTATAGACTGTGAAATCAGAACTTTGAATTCATTATTTCTGAATATACGGTCCATAGAAGATAGTCCTCCAATTGCTACCTTGCAAACGTAGTGTGTAAAATGTTGTGTGCTACTGTTTCAGTCTGGTGTTTTTCCTTTCCAGTTTGAAGAGCTAACCTAAAGATGGCTGCTTCTCCACCACAGCTGGTAGAAGCTGAAACGTTCACAGAGATTTCAACATTAAAGTTGTCAGAAAAGCTGTTGTTTTATTTCTGTAGATTTTGAAATATACAGGGGGCTTTTGTTAATATTGATATTTCTCTTTCTGAAGCACATTATATGTAACCTATTACTTCTATAGGGATATTCACTTAATGGGAGAGTGAGGTGCAGCTAGGGTTGAACGGAAGACACTAGAAGATTTCAGACCTGAGCTCGTGACCCGGGATCTATTCAGCCAGACTTGAAGACACTTCACTGTTTTTCCAAACACATTTTAGCACAAAGAATGCATTTTCAGAGTGCCATAAGTCTTTAAAAATTATTATTTAAGACATTACAATTCCGTACCAAATACTCAGGCAAAGAGCCATATGCCTAATGAGTTGATGCACATTTTCAGGTGACTAGAGTGAGCCCTGAAACAAAAACACTGATGTGTTGAAACTGAAGCAGACCAGAGACACTTGCATATCCATGTCTATTGCTGCCAAGATATAGAATTAATACAGATGTTCATCATTAGATGAGTGGGTAAAGAAAATGGTACACACATACAGGGAGGTAGGGGAAGGGAGGGGAGGAGAAGGAAAAGAAAAGAAGGGGAGGGGAGAGGAGGGGAGGAGAGGAGAAGGATGGGAAAAGGAGGGGAGGGAAGGGGAAGGGAGGGGAGGAGAGAAGAGGAGAGGAGAGGAGAGGAGAGGAGAGGAGAGGAGAGGAGAGGAGAGAGAATAAAAGCAGAAACAGTGAGGATGAAAAAGTCTAAAAGTTCTACAGGGGACTGTTTGCTCAGCTCATCCGGCAGATCCCCAATACTGCCATTGTGCTGTCCACCTATGAGTTCATCGTGTACCTGCTGGGAGAGCGAGCTTAGTCACAGGCCACACAGTTGTGCTCTAGAAGAATAAAACTGAAAACCTAGAGATTTTCTTTTCCGTTGATGTGTAGTGTTCCACACCGAAACAGCAAAAGCCATAGACTGCCCGGCTCATCTCACCTGTTGGACATTGCCTTTTGGATTCATGTTTCTGGAAGGTTTTAATTCATTAACGTTAATAGTTAATTAGAACTTTTTTTTTTAACTTAAGAGGATTGAGGATTGAGCAGCAAGTAAATTAAATCATGCTATTTAATTTAAAAAAAAAAAAAAAAAAAAAAAAGAAAAAGTCTAAAAGTATGTGGGAGAAAGAACAAGAAGAGTCATGGGAACAAAGACAGATAAAATGGGGCCAGGAGAATGTTCAGTGGGTTAATGCATTTGCAGTGCAAGCCTGAGGACCAGAGACTGATTCCTAAAACCCACATACATTTCTGGACCCAATGATGGGCACCTGTAATCCCAACACCTTTACAATGAGACAGGGTAAAGAGAAGAATGTCCTAGAAGTGCATGCGTACTTAGCACAGTGGCAAAAAAACAAGAGAGACTCTGCCTCAATAGAGTGGAAGGAGAGAACTGACCCCAAAAGTCGAGCTCTGACCTCCACAACCACACTAACTAATACATACATACACACACATAAGAAAATAAATTTAAAAATACAAAATAGTGTATGTTTCTTATATGATCTATAGTATATGCACATATGTATGCATTTACTTATGCATATTGGGGGGTTGCATGCATATGTGCATGTGTGTGTGTGCATGTGAAAGAGAGAAAGACAAAGAGAGAAAGAGAGAGGGAGAGGGAAAGGGAGAGGGAGAGAGAAAATGACAAGAAAGCAGAATGGGTTTTTGATCCCACTGCACGCACTGGCTTTGTGGGAGCCTAGGCAGTTGGATGCTCACCTTACTAGACCTGGATGGAGGTGGGTGGTCCTTGGACTTCCCACAGGGCAGGGAACCCTGTTTGCTCTTTGGGCTGATGAGGGAGGGGGACTTGATTGGGGGAGGGGGAGGGAAATGGGAGGCGGTGGCAAGGAAGAGACAGAAATCTTTAATAAATAAATAAATTTTAAAAAAAATAAATACTGCAAGCAGGGAGCCAAGATAATCTTAGGCTACCTGGGCTTTGAAACAGTTATTTATCTCAACAAATTTATCAGACCTAACATTTTGGGACAGTTAGGCAAAGTACTTGGATTATCTCATTAAAAGAAAAACAGACCTAAACCAATGCTAAACCTGAGACTTTTGTCATCAGAAATAGAGATTTCCTCATGTTTATGTATTGATCTGCACGTGTGTGTGTGTGTGTACTGACCTGAAATGTGTGTGTTCACATGTGTTTGCACATGTGTGTGCACATGTGTGTGTGTGCTGACCTGAGAAGTGTATGGGTGCACATATATGTGGGCTGACCTTAGAAATGTATGTTTGTGTGCTGAACTGAGATGTGTATGTGTGCATGTGTGTGTGCATGTATATATGTGAATTTTATTCTGTGACTTTTTTTATTTATTATCTATACCACTTCCTGTGTCCTCAGCCATATTGGAGTACTTCATGTAGGATAATCTCAATCTATGTGTGTAGGCCATGATCAGGTACCCTTGACCTTGGAGAAACAACCACATTGAATAAAACGGGAGTCAAGGTATTTGGGAAAAT